TGACTACGCCACCACGCTTGTGGCTGCTCCTCCTACCAGTCCTCTGGCCGTCGGGGGTGTGTCTGCCCTTGGCTGTGACGCCCTAGAGGACAGGCAGTTTGAGCTAGAGTTCCTGGCGGCCGCTTCCCCTCATCTCTGTGCCATGCTCCTCGCCCCTGAGGGTGACCCCGACGCCCTTGACATTCCGACTCCTCGCACTTACGCTGAGGCAGTGTCAGGGCCTTGGGCCTCTCAGTGGAGAGCTGCCATGGACGCAGAGATGGCCTCCTACAGATCCACAGGCACCTACGTCGATGAGGTTCCCCCCCCTGGGGCGAACGTAGTCGACGGCATGTGGATCTACAGGGTGAAGCGGCCACCGGGATCTCCCCCGGTCTTCAAGGCGCGCTACGTGGCTAGAGGTTTCAGTCAGCGCGAGGGAGTTGACTTCTTTCAGACCTTCGCACCTACCCCGAAGATGACCACTCTTCGGGTGTTACTACACGTAGCAGCACAGAGAGACTACGAGTTACACTCTCTCGACTTCTCCACTGCTTTCCTTCAGGGCAGCCTACACGAGGAGGTCTGGTTGCGTCGTCCCTCGGCCTTCACTGGCACTTTCCCTCCTGGGACCCAGTGGAGGCTGAGGCGACCTGTTTACGGTCTTTGCCAGGCCCCTCGCGAGTGGCACGACACTCTGCGTTCTACCCTCTCTGACCTTGGGTTCCAGCCGTCTTCTGCCGACCCGTCGCTGTTCGTTCGTCGTGGCTCCACACCGTTCTTTGTTCTGGTCTACGTCGACGACCTCGTTTTCGCCACTCCGGACAGGGTTGCTTTGGCAGACGTGAAGTCCCAACTGCAGAAGAGACACACGTGCACTGATCTTGGTGAGCTGCGCCACTACCTTGGCCTGCAGATCACCAGGGACAGAGCCGCTCGCACCATTACACTCTCACAGTCACACATGGTGCAGCAGGTCCTTCAGCGGTTCGGGCTTCAGCACTCCACCGTACAGCGCACACCTCTCGCTGTTGACCACAGACTCACTGGTCCCTTTCCTGACGAGCCGTTTGAGCCTAGTGGTCCCTACGCAGAGCTTGTGGGTTGCCTCATGTACCTGATGACTTGTACTCGCCCGGACCTCGCCTTCCCTCTCAGCATCCTTGCGCGCTTTGTTGCGCCAGGGAGACACCGTCCTGTTCACTGGACGGCAGCTGTGAGGGTGGCGAAGTACCTAGCGACTACATCAGGCGTGGGGCTAGTTCTTGGAGGGCAGCAGTCTGTCGTACTCACTGGTCACTGTGACTCCTCTTACGCTGACGACGCTGAGACTCACAGGTCTACTCAGGGGTACTGTTTCAGTCTGGGTTCTGGAGCTGTTTCCTGGCGTTCCACGCGCTCCTCTTCTGTCTCGACCTCTACAGCTGAGGCTGAGATTTACGCTGGTGCCATGGCGGCACAGGAGTTGCGGTGGTTGACCTTCTTGCTCGCCGACCTTGGTGAGCGGCCGAGCTCTGCACCGACCTTGTTTACTGACAACAAGGCGTCGATCCTCCTCTGTCGTGAGCCGCGACTGGAGAGCAGAGTGAAGCACATTCACGTCAGGTACTTTCTTCTGCGAGAGTTGCAGAGACGTGGACAGGCTCGCTTCGAGTTCGTGGAGTCCGAGGCCAACACTGCAGACATGTTCACCAAGGCGCTTCCGCCTTGTGACCACCAGAGGTGTTGTGTGCAGTTAGGCCTTGTTGACACAGGTTCTAGTCATGTGTAGACTTGAGTTTATTGCCTGCTTCGTCTGTACACTTGCTATATATACTTGTGATCTCTTGGACTGGCCTTGTGGCCACTGTTGCTTGTGCTCAGAGTGTGTGGTGACGTTGTGATCCACCCTGAGCTTTGTTTTCTTTTGGACTGGTCTTGTGACCGTACTCTTTTTGATTTTGCTAGACACCCCTCACTTAGGCTATGGGGGTGTGTCAAATGTTGTAGCCTGTAGTGAGGTTTGTCTTAGGGGGTACAGAAGTTAGGGTTTGTCATATGTACCCCAACCCAACATCAATGGAAACACCATTCCTCATTCTGACAAATGACTATACGTTCAACTGCCAAGGAGCGAGGGATGGGGAATGGGGTGGGAGGGAGACGGTGAGAAGAGAGGGTGGGGAAGGGAGGGAATGGTTTGGTGGGGAGGAGAGGGTATGATGTGCTGTTTCAGATTCGCCACTGCTAGCACTGCCAGGAGCAGGAGCAGCAGCAGGCAGGAGCGGCCGTGGCTGGTCACGGCGAATTAAGGGCATGGGGATGGAGCGCTGGGTGCATCGACCACAGAAGACGCGGTCGCATCGGCGGCAGTGGTGGTGGCGGTTGAGGATGGTGAACTGCGCGTCACACGCGTAGCAGTGCAGCGCGTGGCTGTCCTTCATCCATAAGTCCCGCGATAATAGATCCGACTTGCTGCTCCCTGGAATCCCCCTCCTGCTGCTGTTGTTGCGGTTGCTGCTGCAGCTGCTGCTGCTGCTGCTACCGCTTCCAATGCCGCTGCTGGTGGTGGCGGTGCCCCTGATGGTTCCAGCACCAGCAGCGCCAGCACCAGCAGCGCCAGCAGCACCACCAGTGACAGCAGCGCCAGTGGGGGCACGGATAGGGTTGACACAAAGGTACCAGCAGTACTAGCTCTTTCTGCCCTAAGTGCCCCTATTTTGCCGTCTGCAACCCCTGCTTCTCGACCCGCTCCTATTGATCCTCTTGCTCCTCCTTCTAAGTATCCCATGCCCCCCATGCCTCCTAAACCCACGGCTGCAGTTCTCGTTGTCCTGGCATCACTGAATCTGTCCGCACCACTAAAAATGCCGCTTTCACCATCGAAAGCGCTGGTAGCATGGTTACCACCGCCGCCACCGCCACCCACAGCAGTCCTCACCGCTCCTCTCCCATCCATCCCCTCACCACTCGCTCCGGCATAAGCCAAACCTCCCCCGGTTTCTCCTCCCCCATAGCCACCACCCCCATATCCGTTTCTCCCTAGATCCCTACCCCCGGCAGGCAAACCAGCACGAGTTGCGCCGGAAGTCCCGCCGCGTTTCGCGCTTGCAGTGGCCTGCCCGTGGGAATAGGAGGAGTTCGAAGAAGTGGATCCAGCTGGAATCGTGGCGCCTGACGCGATCAGAGGATTGCTGCTAGTGGTGTCGCTGGCGGTTGCTAGAGGGAGGTATGGACCGAATGAGAGGAAAGAGGAGGCGGAGGAATCTGCGCCTGAGGCAGTGATGCGGGGGCTTGTAGCTGATGCTGCTCCTGATGCGCCTGATACGAATTTCGGCGGGTCGGGGCTTTGCCGTTTGGTTTGGAAGAGGCCGAAAACAAAGCATCCATGATATCTGGATATTTAAATAGCAGTAAACTGCGAAACGCTGTGAAGGAGATTTCATGACGGTGCTCCGGCTTTCAAACGGCCGTGACCATGCGAGAGATAATGGAAACGGACGTCGCTGATCACGAGTTTCTAAACGCGAATCTTAACCTTACGAGGAATCGCGTGCCTGAATCCTGAAAGAACACATCCTCGCCCTATCCTGAAAAGGTTCATACTGAACTCGATATATTCGCGAAGGCTTGTCGCGGTCGATCAATACTAAAATAGTAGTGCGATGGCGCGTAGGAGAGCTGCTGCGCGCCTTGGGATTGGTCGATCAATTCGAAAATAGTAGTGTGATGGCGCTTAGGGGATGGGATTGGTTGGCTGAACGAGCAAATGCGGTAGTTGTTTGTACAAATTTCGAGATTGCTACACTTTGGGGTCACAGCCTTTGTTTACTGGACGGGCTTTGCCTCGTTTTCCTTGAAATCGCGAACTGACCAGAAGTGCAAAGCACACTGGTTTCGCCTTAATTCTCACGAAAGAGATGATCCACCCCTAGAACTCCCATCTGAAACAAGGCCCGTCTCACCACGCCAATTTCAAGCTCTGAACGAACCCGGAAACGCCCCCGAACGTCGCCAAACTGCCTACCTGCTGAAACTGGCTCAGAATCCTAGAGAGTCCTGATCGCTGACCCCAACCCCAACAGCACCAGATCAGAAACTTGGCGAGCGAAAATCGCATTCGAAGGAATCGAGTAGTTGCACACCTTTTCAGTCACAGCCAGTGGGCGATTAGGTATCACAAAACCGTCGCATTCTCTCAAGCTCCGAACCGTCGCACGCGTTTCGCGCGCTTGTTGTTCGCTTGTCACAGTGCAGCAGGTGGACAGCAGCCGTGCGTCGTGTGCCAGTCGCAAGCCGCCAAATACAAATGCCCTACGTTCCTCTCTCCCTAGTACGTCTGCTGGCCTCACAACCCTTGAACGTAAACACTCCTTACTCATCGAAACCCTGCGGAGTGTACCACATGTGATTGTGACTTCCTTTCCTCCCTCTCTCCTCCTTCCCCCGGTTGCTTCCCTCATTTCTCCCCTACTCCCCCTGTTCCTTCCGTCTGTCATCCGCCATGTTTCTCCTCCTCGCCTTCCCTGCGCCGCCTCGGAAGCTGCTCCGTCGCTTGCTGCAGAACACATAAAGGTGAGCCCGAAGCTACTCTAACGCGTACAACAGATTTAGGGCTGAGTGAGACGGGATGAAGGGTTCAGGGAAAGGAGTTGAGGTTCAGGGTTGGGGTTTGTGTAGGAGGTGACTTTTGAGCCGACTCTAAAGTCGCACGGTTCAAGGCTAGGGCTTCAGGTTCAGGGTTGGGTTTAAATATTTTGTGATCTGGGTTTCGGTTTCAGGAATTTGTATGTGCTGCTTGTTAAGGTTCTTTGGTGTCTTATATTGAGTTATTCGCGTGCAAGATATATGCGCTCTCTTTCGAGCTCTCATACACGCCAAACCTCACACTAGCTTGCGTGCATGCACACCAACACACGCACGCACGCACACGCACGCACGCACTCACACGCGCGTGCGCTCACAGACACACACACGCAACCCGCTAACTTTCTCCTATCGCGTCCCCCTCACGCAGGTTCTTTTTCCCTCCCTGCAGGGCCATGGATTGTTCTAGGTTCCTCTTACCACTCCCTCCGTCCTTCTCTCCTTCACAGCCGGTCGCTCACTCTCTCACCGTCTCCTCACCCGTCCCCAACCATCGTGTACCTTCTCACTCCTCTGCGACACCGGTGCACCACATAGAACCACTCTTCACCGCGCTCACGCCTTCCCCCTCTTGCATCGTCCCCCCTGCAGAAAGGCCGAGCCAAGCAAGAGAGCAGCCTGCCACGTCAGCAGCAGAGGCAGGAGGAGCTACAGCCGCCGCCACAGCAGATGCCCAGGGCAGCGCCGGCCTCAGCAGCAGCAGCAGCAGCAGGGGCAAGCAGCCGGTGCGGCCATTTGAGGAGTGTGAGGATGAGGACGAGCTCTCGTGGCGTCTCCCCTGCAGCACACTCAGAGAAATAGGTGAGGATCCGGCACTCAGTTACCCCTTTGTGTCCTCATTCCCCACTTACGTGTCACTCTTCCCGTCTTTCCACAGCTGATAATGCACCCCTGGATAGCATCCGAGAGACCATGAGTTGCAGCGCATGCTGCTCCTCACTTCGCTCGCTCGCCTACGCTCTTCTTCCCTTGCCCCACCCACACACAGTGGACGATGCAGCGTTGAGGCAGCAGTTGAGGGACCACGAGTTGCAACGCGTGCTGCTCCTCACTTTCCTTACTCGCCTATTCCCTTCCTCCCCTGCCAAACATACACAGCGGATGATGCAGCGTTGAGGCAGCAGTTGGGGGACCACGAGTTGCAACGCGTGCTGCTCCTTATCGACAGCTCCCCGCACCCAGAAGCAGTCAGTGCTGCCATCCACCTTCCTCCTCCTCTTTCCAGCTCCACTTACTCTTCGTTCCTCGTCGCAACTTTCATTTCTGCCTCGTTTGATTGCCACAATATCACTCGTGTAGTTACTCAGCTGTTTGCATTGCCTTATCTCATCCCATGCCCCTCAAAACTCTCAACACCCCACTACCTCAACCACACCTCCCCCATCATGCTATCTCAACCCCTCTCATCCCCTCGCCATGCTACCCCACAGGCACTAGAAGCAGCGCAGTCGCATCCTGCTTTTGCCAAGTTCCTTCAACAGGCAATCCTCTCATCCCCTTTTAACTTCTCTTAACCCCTCTTGCTTCAGCTCCTTTCCTCTCTCCTACACTTCTCTTCTCTCGACCCCTCTCGCCCTTCCTGCCTGCTTTTCTCCCTCAAGTTGCACCTCACCTCATCCCTTATCTCTTTGTCAGCAGCCTCAAAAGTGGTCCTATGGCTGAAGCATTTCCTCCCTTTCCTCTTCCTTTTGATGATTGTGTCCTGTGCTTGCAGGCATGATTGAGCAAATGTCTTGTCGAGTACCACCATGATCTCTACTCAACTCATCATCTCTCTGCACCACACCACCCCCCTTTCCTCGCAGCGCAGGACCCCTCCATGTGCCACCTGCTGCTGCACCCGACCTTCCGCCTCCTCCCTTCTCTCACCCGCCACCTCTCACCCGCCACCTCTCACCCGCCACCCCTCACCCGTGCCCTCCTCACACTCCTCCTCCACCGCCTGCCGCATCACCTGTCCCGCCTGCCGTCAAGCCGCCCTCTCGCTTCTGCAAGCGCTCGCTGTACAATCCTTCCTTCCATGCACCTTCCTTTGCCATGCACGCCCCTCGGTGACTCAGCCTTGCTGTCGGGGTCATCCAGCATTTGTCCCATGGATGCATGCTGCTCCCGCCCCACCCCTTTTCCCTCAAACGCTCCTTCGTGTTTTGTGAGAGATTCAGTCATGCAAGTATAAGGGGTAAGATTACATGGCAACCCGCTCCGTCTCTCTGTCCCTCATCCTTACCCCCTGATTCCTCTTCATACCCCATCACATCACATGTGTGCAGAGCCACCCATCGTTTGCTGCTGCCACGCGTTGCACTTCGCCCGCCACCACCACTGCAGCATCGCCCCTCACCCCACTCCTCACCTTTGCCCTGCAAGCAGCCCACACACCCCTCCCCCTGACCCGCTGCCACTGCCCCCACCTGCCCTCCCTCCGCCTCATCTCATCCTCCTCCTTGCCTGCCAGCTCAGCACGCGATGACTCAGCAGCCAGCCATGTGGCAGCATCTGCCTGGCAGACCGCAGCGAGCCTCCTGCGCTGGCCGGGTGGCCATCATGACCCGGCTGTACTGTGGGCGGCAGGCTTGTCTGCATCTGTGCTGACACGTGCACTGCTGGGCGGCAGGTTGTATGAACAGTCAGGATGTGCAGAGGGCAGCAGCGAAGAGCAGATGGGTATTCGGGGGGGTGACGGCAGGGCGGGTGGGGGGGAGGAGCAGGTGGGAGGGTCGCAAGTCGTCATGGCAGCAGCGTGGGAGGCAGTGAGGTGGATGGCAGCATTCTGCCACGTGGCAGTGTGTGACTCAGAGGGGGGTGTGACTCTAGTGAAGGCGAAGGAGGCAGGAGGCAGGGCATGTGGGAAGGCAGGCGAGAGCGAAGAGAACAAGGGAGGGGCGGGCAGTGGTGGCGGTGGGGGGCGAGGAGGGGGAGGGTGGGGGGGGGGGGAGCAGTTGGGCATGCAGGCATGGAGGCGGTGGCAGCGCTGGCATGGTGAGCGGCGAAGGGCATTACCAAAGAGTGAGGTTTTTGTGGAAAGTGAGCTGCTGAGTGCAGTGCGGGTGTGAGTGGACCCGTAGCCTCTGCCGCGCGTGCTCCTGCTCGTGGGGCCAAATGGGGATGCTGTTTGCCTATTCTATTGTCCACCTCTGCAACCTTTTTGCCCCAGCAGCACTGCACTTGCCATCACTCTTTTTTAGCACCTCTTGTCCATCTCGCTCATCTGTCTCCCCCACAGCCTGCTACTAGCTTTAACCTTCGATTGCCCCTCTCCCCCCCAAACCCCCTCAACGTTCTGCCCACATGCAGTGCTCACCTAGTCGCACTGCTCGCTCCCTCCTCAAACGCCACACCTCACCCCACTGCTGTCTCCACCACACCCTCGCCCGCACCCACCACCCCCCTGCACCCGCCCACGGCTCACGCCCTGCTCGGTGCGCTGTTCGCCCTGCTCTCCTCGCCCTGCCCCGCCCTCGCCTCCCTCTCCCGCACCGCTCTCTCTCAAGCACTCACAGCAGCCACCACCCGCCCTGCCACCTCGTGTGAGGCGCAGGGCACAGGGGGGGGCGGGAGAGAGGGTGGTGTGCGGGCAGCAAGCAGGGCAGCACCCAGTGGCCCCCATGACCACAGCAGCGCTGCAGGGGAGGCACGTGGTGACGGCAGCAGCAGTAGCAGCAGTGGCGGGTGCAGGACAGAGGGCAGGGCATGGGAGGGCGGCCATGAGCCTAGTGTGAGTGGCCTGGCAGCGGCTGCTGTGCGCCAGGCCTCCCTGGCGTGCCGCCTCTGCTCGCGCTCCGCCCCTCGTCACTCCTCTGCACCATTTCTCACCGCTGACATGCCAGTACAGGAGGTGGAAGCTGCGATGAAGCTGCTGGTGGTGGCAGCACTGGCGTGTGACGGGCGGGATGGGGAGGCAGTGCGGGCGGAGGGGGGCTTGCAGGCCGTGGGACTCGTGGTGGTTGCACGCGTGGCCCTGTGGACCAAGGGGGGCGAAGGGCAGGGGGAGGGGCAGCGGGAGGGGGAGAGAAGGGAGGTGGGGGGTTTTGGTGATGATGGGAGGAAGGGCGAGGCCGGAGGAAGGTCGGGGGAAGGTGAGGGGTGGGCAGGCAGAGCGCGAGAGGAAGGTTATGGGGAGGATGAGTGGGGATGGGATGAGGGGAATGAGGCGTGGTGGGGGAAGGGGGAGCTGGAGGGAGGGGAGGACGAGGTGGTGGTGGGAGTGATGGGGGGCGGGGGAGACAGCGACGCCAATGGGGAGATGGGTGCTGACACCATGCTGCTGGCTCATGAGAGACCGCACATACCACATGCGCCATACAGTGCTGACGTCACAGCATGGCAAGGTGCTGACATCATCCTGTTCTCTGGCCTCACAGCCCTTGTCGCCCTCCTGCACCGCGCACAACCGTTACCATCCCACCCCACGGCAGTGGCATTAGAGCCACTGGCACTCACCCCCCCCCCCGGCACACTCCTCCCTGACAACCTCATCCCCGCCCTCACTCGTCTCCTCCACCCCGCATCGCCCGCTGGTCTGCGCTGCCTCGCTGCCCGATGCCTCTCTCTCTGCCGCTCGCTGCCCCGCCCTCCCCCACCCTCCGCTGCACTGCCTGCTGCTGCCAAACAGCCCTCTCAGCATCAGCCCTCTCAGCAGCAGCCCTCTCAGCAGCAGCCCTCTCAGCAGCAGCCATATCATCATCCTCCATCTCTCCATCCGCCTGCCACACACAGTGAGCCACCCCCCCTGGGAGTGCCAACTGCTGTGGCCCGTCACATCCGCTCTGCCCTCACGTGCCTCCCCCCTTCCTCCTCCCCGGCCTCTTCCTCCACGCCACTTCACACACTCACTTCACCCCACTCACGCCCTCCCCTGCAAGCCCCTAAGCCCACGTGGCGTTCGTCCTCACGCACCCCTCGGCACCCACTTCTACTGCTGTCGCCTCCCCACTGCGAGTGGTGGCGCATGCGGCAATCATTGCTGCCCGCTGCCCCACCCTCCTCTCGCCCCTCAAAGCCCCCCCTGCCCCTGCCCACGCCTCTCCATCTGCCCCCCCCCATAGCAGCACCTTTCTTCCCGTTCAGGAAAAGGATGGGGGGGCGAGTGGGCAAGCGCTGGTAGCGAGGGGAGGAGTCCGGGCAGAGGGAGAGGAGGGGGTGGTGAGGGAGGTGCGCCTGGGGAGGGGTGTGAGTGGCGAGACGTTCAGTCAGCTCTTGGAGTATATTTACACGGGACAGGTGTCGCTCTCTCATTGGCCGTCAAAGGATCTGCTGCAGCTGGCTAAGAAGTGCCGATTGGATGGGCTCGTTGCACTCCTTCGCTGTGATTGGCCGATGTGGGGCAGTGATGATGCGTTGGGGTGTGATCTGACGTCAGCACTTGGTCCTGCTGGCCTGCCTTGGAGGTGAGGCATGGCAGTCATGGCATCGTGACGCATGGCAGCATGGGGCGTGGCAGCATGGGGCATGGCAGCATGGGGCATGGCAGCATGGGGCATGGCAGCATGGGGCATGGCAGTTCATACTGTTAGTCATTGTCCCTTTCGTCTGTCCATCAACCCTCCCAACGTAATCATTCGTCATCACTTCAAGAGTCCCCACCACCGTGCCTCACCATCCCATCTCACCACCTCGTCTCTCCCCTGCCTCCCTATGTGCCCCCCCCCACGCATGCCCCTATCCCCACAGCGACATTGTGCTGTGTGTGCCGTGCACGCGCCACGCTCCCCCCTCCCCCACGCACCAACCACCTGCAAGCGCCAGCAGCCATGGGGAAGAGGCGCAGCATGAGGCGTGCGGAGGGCCAGACGGGGGGGGCAGCGGTGAGGGGGGGGGCGGGCAGGGGGGCGTGTGGCGGTGTGTGCGGGTGGTGGCGCACCGCTGTGTGCTGGGCGCGCGCAGCCAGTACCTGCACGCCCTGCTGCACTGCGGCATGCGTGAAAGGTGGGGGGGGAGTGTGCGAGGGGGGGGTTGGGAAGTGGGAGGACTGGGGGAAGGGAGATTGGGGTATATGAAAGGGGGGAGAGGGGGGGTATAAGGGGAGGCGCTTGAAGGGAGTGAGGGGGATGAACCTTGGGAAGGCTGAGCGGGTTGGAATGGTGCTCTCTTTGCACGTGTCCGTCTGCCCTCTTAGAGCGTCATTTATCAATTTGCTGTTACTCATTTGATTTTAGTTGCTTGATCTCCCCTTCCCCTTCTTTCTGCGTGCGCTGTGCCTACTGTGCAGCTCGCAGCACGAGGTGCAGCTGCCACCACTGCCCCTACCAGCGCTCATCGCTCTCCTGCGCTTCCTCTACTCCGCCCGCGTCTCCTTCCTCCCCCTGCCCCTCCCTCCCCATGCCACCCGCACGCCCACCAACATGAGCCACCCAACCCCCACCACTGCTGCTGCGAGCCCCAGCCGGCATCACAGCGCTCCTGTGCCACTCTCCTCTGTGCGCCTGCCCCCACTCTCGCTCTCCACATGCCTGTTCTCCGCAGTGCACCTCGCATCGCTCGCTCACCAGTGGATGCTGCCCGCCCTGCACCACAGCGCCCTCTGCTACGTGGCATCACGCCTTCGCGCCACCTGGCATGCCCCAGTCAGCGGCGGGCCATGCAAGAGTGCTGTTTACGGCAATGATGGCAGCAGCAGCAGCACGGGCAGCAGCACCTCCTCTGGCACGGATTGGGTCCAGGAGGGCTCAGTGGCACCGTGGGCGGCAGCCTGGGCGGCGGGGCAGTGGGAGATGGTGGGAGAGGCGGTGGTGCGGGCAGCATGGGCGGCGGGGCAGTGGGAGATGGTGGGAGAGGCGGTGAGCGGCCTGGCGCCGTGGTACCCCGCCATGCGCCATTCAGGCTGCCTGCACCGCCTGCCACCGCAGGTGCAGAGCGCTGTCAGGGAGGCGCATGTGCGCTTGCTCACCGCGCGGCCTTGACGCTTCCTGCTTGCCAAGCAACTTGCTGGCTTGTGCCCTTTCGAGCTGCCTCCTACGCATCTCGTTCAAACGAGACGGGGAATTTGGTGGGCGGGGCGGCGCTGCGAAGTGGCTTCTTGAGTGGGGAGCTCAGCGGAGGATTAGGTGATGAAGGAAGATAACATAGGTCGAATGTTAGCTGCATCACCGCATCAGTTCCATGTGGTGCACTGCGCATTCACTATTTTACAGCAGATGGCCTACTGGGATATCTTCAAAGCCTTGTGATTTGCAGATTGAACATGGATGGAGAGAGTAACCATTTTCTTTTTTCTCTAGGCTGCACTATGGTAGTAGGAGTGGCTTCATGTCATGGTGAGTGATGAAAGCACAGCAGGAATTCAGCCATGACTCCAATCCAGCGTACAGGACAGAATGACTGCCGTATCTTTGGATAATTGATTAAAAGAATCCGTCGTAGTATTGCTCTGGGTTGCATACCCAGAGCTAATATCGGGTTGGATAACCCGTTTCTAGTGTCTTCACATTTCCTCCTGAGAAAGCTTGTCTGAGTATAGTCGATTGGGTGTGGGACCACACGCCTCAGATGTGCGCCTCGAAGGTGTCGACGGACGGAGCGAGTATGTACAGCTGCGCGCACTGGCGCGTCGCGAGGGGAAACAGGGTCGGAAGGCACGGGCAGCGCAGGCGGCTTCACCACTCGTCGTCGCCGCCGTTCCAGCGCTGCTCGCACGACGCCCACCGCGTCAGGCGGTTAGCGGCCAGCGCTTGCCTCCTGGCGCTGCGTCCCCTCTGGCTGCTGCTGCGGCGGGTGCTGCGCGGCACCCTTTGGTCGCCCATCTCCGCCGGCTCTGATTGAACGCGACAGATGTCGCCGCACCCCGGCGCTGCCGTTGCTTGGATGTTGCTGTAGCGAGACGCCGTTCTCCTTCCTCTGCCCGACTCCCAGTCGTCTCTCAACTCGTCGCCAGCGCTCTCTCCCTCGCTCACAAACGACTGTAACATGATAACAAACTGTTCGCAGCGGATCGCATTGAGTTCGCGCTGCGCGTCGAGCAGCGAGAGCCGGCCTTCCAGCGCGAGCAGATCGAGATCCGCGCGACTGTTGCGTACGCGGCGCGAGAAAGGAACCTGGTCCGCGTGACACGTGGCGAGCACAGCCCGCGATGATAGCCGGGAGGAGACGTCGAGGTTTGGTAGAATGAGCTTGCTTATCGCCATTTTGTATAAATGCGCGTTTCAATCAGCTGTAAGCACCACGTACAGAGGGAGGTGGCTGTTAACGTAGGGTGGAAAGAAACTCGAGTATTGCGCTGAACGGAGGGTAGAACGGAGGTAGATTGAGGATTGCGCTGAAGTTGCGTAGTTTTATCGCCATCGGCACCGCCGTGACACCCAGTGTCTTAATCTCACTCGCTCAGCGTGAGGGGATGGGATAGAGCGGATACCCAGTAAGCATAAAGCCAACTTTGATTAGACATTAATGGTACCCTGACGTAGCACAGCCTGGCGCACTGTTGCGCCTCACTTGAGCTCGCCATGGGCCGGCTTGGAGGATCTTAACAGTAGATCGCACAACAAGCCTGTCGGTTCGAGCAGCCTTCTTGATCAAGCTGAAGGGAGCAGCTACGAATCCGGGGATACGAAGATGGGCCAATGAACGTATTCGCATGGCGTGTATCTTCCGTGTGAGCGTTATTCCTGATATCACCTTTCTCTGTACTGTACAGCATTCCGCTCTTAATTACCCGCCAGCAAACTGAGGTCGTCTCTCCAGCAAGTGTCAAGAAAGGCTTGGTGTCAAGCGTTGTTTACGGTTGACACCAAGTGGAGCCGCGTGTGAGCGCGGCTCCAGCCTGGTGTCAATGTTGGGCACATTGGACGATTTCCCGCGATCTCATTGGTTGGTTTAGCTGACACCAGGAGGGATAGTCCTCCATGTGTTTTCGAGTTGGTGTCATGACACTAGCCCCTCTTGACACTTGCTGGAGAGACGACCTGAAATGAACGCAAGAGCGAAATAGTACGGGCCTTGGTCGGATAGGGCGTCAAGATACAATGCTTGCACCTGCTCAGTAATCTGCGCACGGTCATGCTCTGTACCGTATAGCGCATTCTGCGCTTTCCCACTCCTTCGTGGGCACAAACCGTCCCATCGCCTAGCACCGTTGAACGCGGTTGGTGCGTAACGGGACGAATCAAGTCTGAAGAGGGGCGGGGAAGTTGCGCGGCTCGGATCAAATTCACGCTGTGAGGACGACTTGTGGACGATGATAGAATACTGTACAGTTCAAGTAGATCACATCAGATCTCCCATTGATACGTCGTTACTAGTGTTGTGGTCTTCGCCGAGACCCAGGCTTCAAATCATGGGGTGAAAGAAGACGGCCTTGCCTTCTTGGAAGGGTACCGAACGTGAACGAGACGGGTGTTTCATAAAAATCGGCCGTGAGAGTCGCTGGGCAAGACAGTAGCCACACGATTTCACTACAGAAGGGGGAGCACACAAGTCACCGAGAGACTCGTCTAATAGTTAACGTGCTCAAGATTTCTGACAAAATGCACTCGCACGGCAAAGAAAAGGGTCTTCACCGCATAGACTCGACCCGATTACGTCGGCAACAGCTTCCGCTCACAACCACGAGCACGAATTGATCCCCTTCTCTGCGGAAACACGAAGCCCCAGCGACTGCGCTGTGGCGAAGGGAATGGACAAGGTGGATCCTCCTCCCAAGGCCACACAATGAAACAGCAAGGACGCAGCATTTCCCTTCCCTCCAATAGTTGTCCAAGTGATTTTGATGGCTACTGGTGCAATTGAATGAATGAACTAGAATTGCACTATCGAAGCAAGAGTACAATGAGCGAAGGCATGAGCGAAGAATATATAGCGAAATTACAGTGGTAACGGTAATGGACTGTGGTTGTCGCGCGACGGGCCTGGGACTGAGGTTTGGGAAAGTGTCGAAGTGGAGGCCCGGAGCGCGGGTTACCAGCCGAGCCGTGAGGTTGGGATGCGATGTGCGAAAATGGCGGGCTGATTGTCGAGGCGATGATCGCGAGTGGTAACGGCGCTGACTGTGGTGCTACAGTGATGTACGCGTTGAGCAGGGATGCGAAGTAAGGAAAAGCGGTTTTCCTTACACTACCCCCCCCCCCCCCCCCCCCTCCTAAGGAGGTCCTCCTTACGAAAGTGCGTGGACGTCCCTGAAGTTTCGACTGCGCAGATATTCGGTGAGAACAAGGTGGTTTTCGATTCTGTCCAGGGGAACCCAATTGTCTTCGGTGGGTGTACGGTCTTTCCAGTGGATCAGGAACTCGATCTTTCGGGCTCCTCGAGGGTCACGAACTCTGTGGCTCAGGATTTTGTCGGGGACGATGATTGGTTCGGTTGGCGGTCGTGCCATGCTGGCTGGGCGATTGCGTGGGAGTTGGCTTGTGGATGGGACGTAGGGGCGAAGCAGGCTAACGTGGAACGAGGGGCTGACGTACCAGTCAGCAGGGAGGAGGAGGTGGGCGGTGACGGGTGTTATCATGTGGCTGATACGAAATGGCCCATAGTATCGGGGGCGGAGTTTGGGTGCGATGGGCAGTCGGAGATTCTGAGTGTCGAGTAAAACTAGGTCGTCGGGCTGGTAAGTGACAGGTCTTCGGTGGCGGTCGGCGTTGCGTTTAGCGATGATGTTCGATTTTTTTATTGCGTCTGCTACCCTGGTCCGTGCTGCTTGTAGAATTTCAGCGAACTGTTGCGCGCGTGGAACCGGGTTGTCGGGATTCGGGGTCATGGGTACTGTTGGGTCTTGTCTGTAATTCAGGTAAAACGGTGACTGCTGGGTCGTGGCGGATGGGGCGTTGTTGTATGCGAATTCGATGAGTGACAGTTGTTTCTCCCACGTGTTTGGATTGTCGCACGTGGCCCTGATGAGTTGCTCCATGGTTTTATTTGTCCGTTCTGTCTGTCCGTCTATTTCGGGGTGATATGATGAACTAAACTGTAGTCACGTGCCGAACTGCTGCCACAGGTTCCACCAGAAGTTGCTGGTAAACTTCGTGTCTCTGTCGCTGATGATTGATGCTGGTATCTTGTGCAGTCGAATGACGGTGGAGATGAAGAGGCGGGCTGTTTCTTCGGCTGTGATTGATTTCTTGCAGGCTGCGAAGTGTGCCATTTTCGTCAGTCGATCGACGACGACCAGGATCGCGTCATTCCCACTCGCTCCGGCCGGTAACCCCGTGACGAAGTCCATCGTCACCTGCTGCCAAGCACGCTCTAGGGGTGGGATTGGTTGCAATTGTCCCGCCGGCCGCTTCTGGGTTGACTTCATGATCTGGCAAGTGGGACACGATGCCACGTGTCGCTGTACGTCGGTCAACATTTCGGGCCAATAATAATACCGCTGCAGCTGTTGCCGTGTTTTCTCTACTCCGAAATGCCCCGAGGTAACTCCGTCATGTGCTTCTTGTAACAGTAATTCCCGTAGCAGTGTGTACCCTGGTACCCAGATGCATTCGGTCCCGGCTTTTACATAATAGACTCCCTTGGCTGCTGCAAATTGCGGCGAGTTTCCTCCTGTGAAGAATGGGTCCGTTTGGTATCCGTGGGTAAATAGTCCTGTCAGTAGCGGGCTGGTCTGGGCGAGTAGTATCGCATGGATCTGGGCAGTGGGGCGGGTCAGTGCGTCGGCGATATTCGAGGCTCCTTTTTTGCAGGTGACCGTGTAGTGGAAATTTGACTCGAGGAAGTCGAGCCACCGAATCTGTCGTGGGTTGAGGTGGGGCTGTGCGCGGAGGTACTGTAGGGATCGATGGTCTGTCCGTACTGTCACGTCTGCGCCGGTCAAGTAGCAGCGCCACACTTTGAACGCATGCACGATCGCGAGCGTTTCGCGGTCGTGTATCGAGTAATTTCGTTCGGGCGGATGCAGTTTTCATGATTCGTATGCGATGGGCTGTAGGCCGTTGCCGAAGTCCTGTAGCAGTACGGCTCCAATGGCGATGTC